CATGCCAAATCTTTCCTTTCACTTTGCGATCATCTGGAATAGTTATAAAATAACTTTTTTATTTACTAATCCTATCACTTGTGTTATTTCTGGATCAGTTTCAACTGATTGGTTTTCTCCTCATTATGTGTCATGTTCTCCTGATTCTTATTGTGCCTTATAATTTTGCACTGGAATGCAGACACTGTGAATTTTACTTTCTTGGGTGCTGGATATTTTTGTATTCCTATAAATGTTCTTGAGTTTTATTCTGTGGTGTGGTTAAGTTACTTGGAAACAGTTTTATCCTTTACTTGTTAGGCAAGACCACAGCTGCACTTGGCCTAGAGAAAATTTTGTCCCACTCACTGAATTAAAACCCTCCTGGGTTCTTTGTTCAAGGGAAATAGGAACTACTCTGGCCTATGCGAACTCTAAACATGCTTTCCTCTAATCTTTTGGGTGGTTCTTTTGTTGTGCCCACCCCGGGGGTCGCCTACCCAAAGACCACTCACAATCACGAATCGATGTAAAAAGCAAGAGGCAGGTTTATTGCTGGCGCGTCAGGGTTCCTCAGCCACAAGGGGAAGGAACCCCCTGAGGCTGTTACCGGCTGCTTTTAAGGCGAAAAACTACATGCAGGGGGGGGTGAGGGGGCGTTTGGTGATTGGGGAATTTATAACTTGCAGGGTTGCTGGGCAGTTTTGCTCTGGGGATTTTTTTTTGCGACGTTATTTTTAGCGCGGGTATGAGGGAGTAGGGAGAGGGTAGGGTGTTGCCTCCAGGTGCAAGAGTCTGATATGCGGGTATAATGTTTTCTTTGTTTTAGGACCTCCTTACTGCCTTGTGGCCTAACACTTTCTTTGGCCCCAGGTAATTTTCTTCCATGCTTATCCTGATCAGTACTTAGCTCAAGACTTGAGGGGGATACTTGGAAGATCTTTAGAATGTCTTCTCTGTGGAGGTCTCTCATCTCTGATGCCTTTACTCACAAATCTTACCCACCTGGGATTTTGGGGCCCTGGGCTCCATCTGTTCAATGAGGGAGACCATGGGGCCCCACTTAGATTCCCCCTTGCTGCAACCATGGTCTGGAAGTTCTCTCCAGGCCATGAGCTGAGGTCAATCCTATGAGTCACCTAATTTGTTTCCTCTTTCTTGGAGATCAATGTCCTATCTTGCATGACAGTTTTTAAAATACAGTTTTCCAGTTTTTTGTTTGTTTGTTTGTCTCACTTAGAAGAGTAAATAGGGGCTATGTCACCCTAGATTGTCTGGGATTAAAAGCCCAGAGGGCTTTCTCTAAATCTGATCATTTGTAGGCTGGACATGATGGAACTTTCAGGTGCCAAGGGCACTGAGGGTGTTACTAAAACTGTGGTTGAAGTCAGACATCCTTGGGGAAAAGGTAAGGGGGAAGCACAGATCAGAGATTTTCATAAATTCAAAGGACAGGGATCAAGGAATAAGAGAGAAAACTAGCAGTTGAAGGGGCTGGGGTCAGAATTTGTCATGTTTATTAAGGTTTTCAGGCCAGGTGCAGTGGCTGGCGCTGGTACCCAGAACTTCAGGAGGCCGAAGGGGGAGGATGATTTGAGGCCAGGAGTTCAAGATCAGCCTGGACAACATAGCAAGACAGTAAAAATAAAATTAGCTGGGTGGGGGTATTGTGTGAGTTCAGGAGTTTGAGGCTGCAGTGAGCTATGATCATGCTAATATATTCTAGCCTGAGTGACAGAGTGAAACCCCATCTGTAAAAGAAAAAGAAAAGAAAAGAAAAGAAAAGAAAAAGGTTTCAGAGGGGAGGCGGTGGCAGTTCAAGGTGACAAGCTGCAGGGTGTGGCCAACAGTTAGCTTGAGTGGAGTGTGAAGGGTAGTGGTTGCAATCGAGGAAGTATCTGAGATGTGGAAGAATGAATTATCTCTGCTTGAGTTTCAGAGAGGGACAGTTCCTTGGGGTTTGGGGAGAGAGAGCCTTGTGCTAATCAAGGCTGTGTTAACCAAGTTTGTTTATAACAGAACAAGGTCTCCTTAAGGCATGCTGGAAATGAATGCAAACCACTGGGAACGTGGTCACACTGGAAGCTGGGAGGACAAGACAGGGCCGCAGTACAGAGAGGGTGCTTGAGAGTTCCTGCCTGGCCCCCAGGGACCAGCCTGTACACGCTAAGGTGCTGGCCCACGTGGGAGCTCTGAAGCTGGCTGGCAGGTGACAGCCAACCTCCCAGGCAGCTCCATGACCCTAATATCCTACTGTCTGTGCCCGTGTATAGAGCCCTCCACCACTGAACAGGGCTGAGTCTTGAAACTACAGGTACTGTGGCAAGGACAGAACATGACTTCCAATGTTCCGTCACAAAAGGAATTGTGGCTTCTGCTTTGCTACTTTTTGGGTCATTGGGAGAAGCCAGCAGCATGGTGTGAGAAGGTAAGCCGTACGGAGAGGCCCACATGAGGAGAAACCTGCCATAGCCAGTGCCACCTTACCAGGCATGTGGGTGAGCTACTGAGAAACGTCCCAGCCCATGCAGCTCTCAGGTGACTGTGGCCCTGACCCAGCATTTTCATGGCCACCTCATGAGTGACCTTTGAGCCAGAATCATTCTGGCTAAAAGCTAAATCACCCCTAAATTTCTGACCCACAGAAACTGTGTGAGATAATAAATGTTTATTGCTGTTTTAAGCATCTAAGTTTGGGGCAATCTGTTGTTCAGTTGCAGTTAACTAATACACATTTTGGAACCTGCATCTAGGACGCTTTAATAAAACCTAAAAATATGGGTGTGAGTTTGGACCTTGCAGAGGAGGCTGGGAGGGCCCCAAGGAGAGGGCCGGGGGCAGCTCCCGCCTGTCCCCTATCTGCTGGTTCTCCTGGGGACACAGGGCAGCAGCTGGGCCCACAGCTGCTCCACCTCCCAAGTGTAAAAACAATACAGCTGCTGCTTCGCATCTGCCAAATGAAGCTCACCCAGCTGGGAGGATACGGAATGCGGAATTCTGGAAGCGTCCGGTCTAGCTATGCTGGCATGTTACAAAAGCACCATGAAACGCTGTTATGACATCGTCCTTGAGAAGGACGCCCTTGGAATGGGGGCAGGATCTTTCTGCTTGCACTGCAGTCAGAGGCACTGCAGGGTCTGGGAGGTTCGGGATGCCACAGTGGAGCGAGCCCAGAGCACCAGACAGAGGGGCTTGTAGCCAAGTGCGTGGCTTCTGCTGTGCGTAAGGGGCAGGACTTTCTGAATACTGCAGGTGACAGGTCTCCACCCTGCTGCAAGGTCCTGCAGGAAATCAGAAAACGCCACAAAATATCCCTTCTCTTCCATGACTATTTCTGCTAAGCAGTGAAGCAAATGAGAGATAAAGATCTAAGAGATTCAAAAGTCTGGGGGGGGGGCGGTTTCCAACCATTTCTGTCTCACGGTACCCTTGAACCTATGGTTAAACTTCCACAGTACACTTAGATTATGTTGATTAAAAAAATGAGTAAAAAATAGAATATACTTACGGTGCCTCGAACTTCCTTCAAAAATAATTAATTATCTTTAAAAATTTCCATGGCACACCAGTTGAAAATCACTGGTCAAGAGGAAAATACTGGGTTCCATGTGACACGAGGGTTTGATAATGTCAGGATTGCCTGGAGAATGGGTAGTGTCATTAGACTCACAAATCACAGGTCACTTCACTGCCATGCTGAGATGACTTCTCTTTTCACCCAGGTTGAGGGAACAGAGCCCAGGACTTCCCCACAATCCCTGGCAGGAGCAGCTTCCTGCCCCCATGGGAGCTCACTGAAGAGAAGTGGGTGGGCAACAAGAGCCATCCTCTGGGAGGCCCCGAGTGTGAGGCGGGACCACTTTAAGGAGGGACCTGGGGAAACTTGTACCAAGCAGAGGCGTGTGGATTTCTCAGAGTACAGTGAAGCAGTGGAGGCCTAAGGTGCAGTGCCCAACTCAGTCTCCAGGCGATGACCTCCACCCCTGTCATACTTAGTCACCAAGATCCCCAGAGCAGGCAGGAATAATGCCTGCAGGCCCCCTCCACTCTCCACCGTGGGTGGTGGAGCCAGTCCCCGTATCAGCACAAGTGGGCTTTATTGCATCTTTCTGCTGTAATCAGGGAGCGGGGTGACATGGGCTGTCCCTCCAACTCCCATGGGCTCTGAAGGCACTTGGCACCTATTACTGGTGTGACTTTGGACAAGTTATTTGGTCTTTTCTAAGCTAAGTCTCTTCAACGGTCAGGTGGGATTGATGACCAGACCTGGCTCATGTTGTGGGGACCCGCTGCCACACAGGAAAGTGCCCGTACCATGTCCGGCACAGAGCTGGGTTGTGACAGGGGCTTGTCTCCACTGGCTCTTGGTAATCGTTGACCAGCCTGAAACCCAGTTGAAATTTAAGCCATATGTCCATGGCACTCCTGCTTTCTGTGTTAGAGGCCGGAGCTCTTGGTGGGTGCGGGCAGGCTGCCCTGCTGCAATCTTTCCACACACAGCCATCGTCACCTTCTGGCAGTGGTGTGCTCGGCTGTGTCCCGTGCTTTGCTTCTCTGACCCTCTAAAAATTGTTGTCTCAGCAATTTTTGGCTGTGAAGGAGGGCTGGAGAAGACAGATATTATTCCCCACGGGCTGAGCTGAAACAGGGAAAGAAGAATTGCTCCTAGTCGGCGTGTCCTGCCCCAGCACCGACCTAGCCCTGGCCAGGTCGGAATTCATGCATTTGTGGATATTTGTGGCGTGTTTCCCCAGGACCAGGGTAGGGGTCCGTGCTGGGCCCAGAGCTGTCACCCATAACAGTTCTGTCAACCTCCCGTTCCCTCCTGCTGCTCCAGGCCAACAGGCCCAGCTGCACTCTGTCTCAGTGTGGCGTGGCCGGTGCAGCCCCCACACCCGTGTGCTGGGACGCCAGGAACACGCCACCACTGCTCACAGTCATTGTTTATTGACAATTCACACAAAGTAACATCATACAGCAAGTCATTTCCAGGGTTTAATAAAAATGATTGTCACTCACTGTGCTTCACAAAAATTTCTTTTTTAATGAATAAATAATTTGATGAAATCAAAAATATTTACAATATAAACACATGGAAAAGCTTTGGATCCATGAATCTCATCGTTGAGTTTTGCATTTTTGAAGTGAGTCCTCTCGAGCTTTTCCTTTGGAAACAATACAAATCTGATAGAAACAGTAACTCATACGACTTATCTGTTCATTACACATTTATCCGTTAGTCCTGGAAAGCTACAGAAGCATATATTATGCGACATGTTAAAATACAAATACCTAAAATAATATATTATCATAATGCCAGGTAGCATTCTCCATAGAACAAAAACATACACTCGGCTGGAACAGTAACAAAGGATCACGGGCCACAAAATAATACCCCAAAGGTACAAATTCCTTCATAAGAATATAATTGTGCTCTTCAGTTTGCCAGATGTCTACGCTGCTCTAACGGGTGGCAGGGAGGACAGTGTTTGGCGGCTGTGTGCGTGTCTCTGTCAGGAAGCAGCATTATGGGAACTGGGCAGTGCAAGCAGTTTTATAAATACTTTCTTGGGCTCTTAAAAAGAGCCAATTATGCAAAGCAAAATAAGCATATTGAGAAGTCTTCATCTCTTCTGCACAAACGCCAGGGACCATCTTGGCTTTGTGGTATGAAAGGGTTTGTCTGTGTCACTATTGATGCTGTCAGCCTGAATTCAAGTATTCCAGGGCCACTTCGTAGCAGAACTTGTACTGATCCTGGAAAAGAGAAGAAGGGGAAAATGTCAGCTCTCTCATCTCTAAATGTTGTTTCTATTAAAGCAATTATAGTAGATTAGGGTCTTAATTGGAAGAAATCAAACTGGTAAGGTTTGAATTAGAAATGAATCTGAGATCAAGGCTCTGAACCCTCAACATCTTCACTGTTGGCAGCTGCTCCCCCGAAAGGTCTGATGAAAGGTATTTCGCTGTCCTTACGCATTAGAATCCCTAGAGCGTTCTGGACAACTGGCAATTCTTGTCCATGTTTGTCCACACGCATGCTCACCTACATAGCAACATCCCGAGGTTTGTACAGGAAAATCAAATGGAGAAGGAACGACACAGACAGCCTGAGCAGACGCCTCTGCGACTTGCCCTCACGAGGCCCTTGGTTCCCAGGTGACGTGTCACTCGTGCCAACTTTCCCGTCTTTTCAGCCTGCAGGACCACCTTCTCTTCATGAGAATTCAGTGAGCACCTCTTTAGTCCAAGCCCCTTGTCCTGCTCCTTGATTTTGAGAAGCCCACAACGCAGTGAGCAGCGTGAGATAGGTGACCCAGTAACAAGGCGGGAGGCAGAGTGGTCCCCTAACATATTGTGGGCTCCATGCAGGGAGAGCAGATCTTTGCAGGGAGGATGGCAGCAGGGAGTAGGTGACAGATGGCACCCTCCCTGGAGGACAGAACTGTGCGTGGAGTTGGCAGAGGTGATTACACACCTTGGTTTGCCTTACCCAGTCCTGGCTCCTGCCTGTTGTCCTGGTATAATTACTAGGAACATCCTCTTTCACTCTCGGGAGTGCCCTGGTTTGGGTGATAACGTATGTGACCATCCTCGCTGGGGTTAAACAGGCACTCGAGGTAGAGACAGTAGGACAAGGGGAGTAGAGATGGGAGATGTTCAGAATCCTCTGGAGCCACAGACCAGCTCTGAACCAGGCAGTGAATTCTTGCATCTTGGGCACAGCTGTCTCAGGTCAAGCAGCGTGGCCTGAGCAAGCCCCACAGGAGGCGCCAGTCTAGGTGTGGCCACTGGTGGCATCTGCCCTGTGTGTCTGCAGTATGCTGACGGAACCAAGCCAAGCAGAGGACAGGGGCTTGAGGACAGCTCTGTCTGCCGCTTGACAGGAGCCCAGCCTGGGACAGGCCTCAGCAGCAAGAAGGGCCTGTGGTCACTTTAGGAGATGAGCTTTGACAACACACAAGAGTCAGCACCAAGGTCTCACTACCAGCTACAACCAAGGAAATGTGCTTTTTGGGTTTGCTTTTACCAAATTAGTTGAAAAGAAATTTCCACTGTTTTTTTTTTTTATATGTGTCCCCTAATTTGTGACTGAAATCTCCTTTTCTTCACCTATGTTGTGTTCTTGAAGTAAATAATAGTCAACCTACTTATTTGAAGGCAAGGGTGTCGCTGGCACAAAACGCCATGCACACTTGAGACTGAAAGGTGGCTGCATAGATAAATGATGGCAAACTATGGGTTTTATAGTATTTGACTCAAATCAGTAAACATCTAAAACTAAAGACTGGGAACTTTAAGACATAGTCTCCGTCCTCTGGCAGCTTGCAATACAGAAGCGAAGAACAAACAGGTCATTTCGATACTCTGAAGGTGCCACAGGATTAAAAGTCAGTAGCAGTAACACCCTCAGGAAAGCTTAAAAAAAATACGGACAAAAACAAGTGTTGGTGGGCAGTGCCTGTGGCTCAAAGGCCCCATATGCCGGAGGTGGCAGGTTCAAACCCAGTCCCGGCCAAAAACTGCAAAAAAAAAAAACAAAAAACAAAAAACAAAACAAAAACAAACAACAATAAAACCCCCCAAAAAACAAAAAGCAAGTGTTGGTGAGGCTGTGGAGGAACTGGAACCCTCGTGTGCTGCTCATGGGAATGTATTAATAAAATGGTGCAGCCACTTTGGAAAACAGTCCTGCAGCCCCTCAAAAAGTTATTACAATATGACCTAGCAGGTGTACTGCTAGGCATATACCCAAGAGAACAGAAAACAGATGTCCTTATAAAGAGGCAAACACAAATGTTCATGGTGCATTATGCATAAAAAACAGAAAACAGTAACCTACTCAAATCTCCACTGGTTGGCACTGGAGAAACGAAATGTAGTCTAGCCATGAAATGGGCTGTTTCTGGCTATTAAAATGAATGAATATAATACATACTATAACATGAACGTACATGAGGCATGGAGGAATTCGTGGAATGAAGGAAGTCAGATTTAAAGGTCACATATTGTATGATTCTATTTATATAAAATGTCCAGAATATGCAAATTTATAAAGACCAAAGTAGATGAAGGGTCACCAGGGGCTGAAGAAGCGGTAACAGGGAGGGACTGCTAACAGGTACAGGTTCCTGCTGGGGGAAATGGACATTTAGATTGTGAAGACAGGTGCATAACATGTGAATATGCTGAAAACCACTGAACTGCATACTTGAAAAGGGGAAATTTGATGGTATGTGAATGATATCTCAATAAAACTGTATTTAAAAAATCGCTAATAGAAAAATATTGCTCATTTTATCTGTGACTCCTGCCTGTGAGTGGGACAGGAACTGGGCAGATCTGATGTGGGAAAGGGGACCCGCATGTTCCTGGTGGACTTGCTTCCTCAGGGGTCACGGGTCTGAGGGCTCCACACTGACCCAGTGTCCTATTACCTGCCCTGAGATATGGCACATGAGTTCCCTTCTGGTTAGAAAGCCTTGCCAATCTAGAATTCTGAGACTTTAGGAACCAGTTGACCTTTAAAGCCAGTCTGATGACATGTAAGACGCATTCTTTAAACTATCTCATCTTACAAATAGCAGGTATTCCGCCAGCTTGCCAAGTCCCTCACCCAGACCCCTCTTTTCACATACATGCGCATGACAATGAATACAGAATGGCTTTTTTAAAACTCTTGAACTGAAAAAATTATTACTTTCCCCAGGCAAAATTTTATTTCTGATGCATATGCTAGTATTTATTATTTCAGGATTCAAGACTTTTATTTTCAGAACATTTAAAAGAAATGAACTGAATTTCAAGATTCTAAAAAGCCACACTGTCCGATCCCCAGGCTGATGTCCTCCTGTCACTTCTGCTTTTGTGAATCACAGGGACACTTTTCCCCTCCATGGGAATCTAAGAGATCCAATCCTTATTGAATAAAAATGATTTTGTACAAACCTAATTGTGCAATTAATTTCAGTGACTACTACAAACCATGCTGTTAACAAATTTAAACACATCTCGTGGGGGGAAGTGGCTCCTGGCCTCAGACCATAACACAGGCCTGGAAACTCAGGAGGGATTTTCCACTTGCTGCTAAGGAGCTGATGCCTGGAAGTCACTTAATCTGCCCTATCCAGGCATGACTATAATTTTCAAAATGAATTCTTCCTCTTCCTTCTTATCCCTCCTAAGCAAGCTGCCAATCTCTGCAGATTCTGTGATGACTGGTTTCTGAATCAGAAAAGTAAGGGGAAGGAGAAGGGAAGACTGTAAATTGCCGTGTCCCTCCCCAGCACCTGGGGAAATGCCTGAAATCTCCCTACCCTGGAAACTGATGACACTTGATCACCAGGTACAGGCCTGTCTTCTGCGGTTTCCTCTCTCAGTTCACTTGCTTTTGAACAGTATAATTAAGCCACATGAGCCATCCTGGGCTTTGGGGAAAAATAGAACATGCATGCCTTGTTCCCAAAGTCTCCCAATTTGGGTGACATCTGCTGGCTTCAGGCCTGGAATGTGTTCTGGGTGGGTGGGTGGGGACTGGGGACAGCCAGGGCCACCTGCTATTCCTCACTGAGACCCTTGACTGTTCCCACTCTAGACCACGCTTCTTATCCCCATAAAATCTGATAGAAGACTGAAAATTGAGGCTACTTTTGAAAGCGTCAGGCTGGCCTGGTGAGGGAGCCAGCAGGCCAGTAGGCTGTGCTGGGGGCCTCCCTGGAGGCCAGGGCTCTGCCAGCACCAGGCTGGCGTTTGGTATGGGCACTTCAAACACCCCTTCAGCTGCCTAAGAAGATTCAAAGAGAAGCACCTACACAGCTGACCCGGGGCGACGCATTCCCCCTTGAAGCACCTGCTTTTTGAAACTAACACAAATTTCACAATTTCAGCTGGATCCTGTGCTGACAGATCCTTCAGCTGAAAAAATCCTTCTGACTGAGGCCCTGGCAGGAGGGTGAGACATCCCCCATGTGCTAATCCTGGTGGGTTCCTTTGGCCCAAGGTCCCCCACCAGCTATGTTAGGTGGTCAGCTAGCCTGCACCAAGGAGACCACTAAATTCACACCATCACTGAGTGAGACAGCTGCGTGTTTATGACAAGGACGGGAAGATCGTTATTTTCACCATTATCTTTAAACCATGTGTGGAGAACTTTCTTCACAAAATCCGTGCCCAATTCCATACTGAGACCCATAGGCTTCTCTGGGCTGGAGAGAGCAGCAAGGGGCAGCTCAGTGTGGACCTGGGTCTGGCTGCAGAGATGTGTCCAGTCCCTCGGTGAGTGTCTACAGGACATCTGGGAGCTGGGTGCCCTGCTGGTACTGAGGGTGAGAGGCAGGTAGGTGCTTTGGTCACACCTTAGGGAGAGCCAGAACCTGGGGGTGGGACCTGGGGGTGGGAATGGGGCATTAGCAACCACCATTCTAAACCTCCCTCGAGAGCAGGGGACACTGACCTCAGCGGATTCCAGGAGCCCCAAGTGTGGCCAGCAAGGGCTTCTTGGAGACCTGAGTTCATGTGATTCCCTGCCCCTCTGCCCCCGCATGGGCACACACACAGCTGGACAGAGGGCCTGTTCATCTTAAATCACTTCACCAGGAGGGCTGCAGAGGGGGGGCTGCACACACCAGCCAGTAGACTGTGTTGTCTGCACAGGAGTCACCCCCAGGCCCAGGTCACTTCGCAGGTATACTGTGCAGCACCCTGTTTTTTGGATGTTGAAGAGGGCCTGAAGCGAGTCTGGGTGGCAGCTCTAAGTA